CCCCCCCCCCCCCCCCCCCATCAATTCTTCAAAGTGCTAGGTGACTCTGCGCAGCATTTTCCAGTGGCTGGGTGGGTCTTGCCAACTGGTGGCAAAGCTGGCTAAAAAGCTATGCTGCATTGTATGATAAGACCCACTGGATCTTTTGTCAATCAGTCAGACAGGTCTTTGGCATGGAACTGGGTCCTGCATGTCAGAAACATAGTCAGTGGAAATCACATTATATCATTCAGAAACCCAACTAACAGCTTCCTTCACTTCCTATCAGTGGTCCATTCTTGCCCTTGTAGGTCTAGGTCTGCTAAACACATCCCATCAAGAATTCTTCATGATGCATAATATTTAAATATTGTTCTAACATCAGTGCTGCATTAGTCATCTAATTTACATTCTATGATAGGAGAGAAGAAAAATACTGGTATTTGATAAGTGATTTATCGCTTACCACGACTGGACAACTTTACTCTGCGCTGTCCAACTTTTCTATTATAACCTCTCTGACTTGACTATTATTACCATGGTTGTTGCTGTCATGAAATTTCCCCTCTTATTCCAGCCAACTGTGGAAGTACATGTGCTTTTCTTTTTTGTTGCATCCTCACAGCATGGAAGAAGAATCTCACCACTGAAACTCCTATTTAACTCCTTATCTGTGAGAATCTTTGAACTCTTGGGTCTCTCAGTTTTTCTTCTACAGTCTGGAAAATGTTAAAACTCAAACCATTCCCTGATTTATCATTAAAGTAAAACAAAGAACTGTGGTTGCTGGAAATCTGAAGCAAAAACAGAAATTGCCGGAGAAACTCAGCAGGTCTGGCAGCATCTGTAGAGAGAAAGAAGAATTAACGTTTTGGGTCCAGTAACCCTTCCCAGAACTGCTGTGTTTCTCCGGCAATTTCTATTTTTGTTCCTGATTCATCCTGTTTTCTATCCACCTGTCAATGGCATTGTGGTCTTTGGACTTGATTCCTCCCTTAAATGGTACAAATTATGAAAATAAGGAAGCGGACAGCTTGTGCTAGAAAAAATGAAGTGGTTTAACCAATATTTTGGATTGATCTGATGATGTGAAAGACCCATGTTGTTCTTCACTATTTGTGTCTGCATCAATAGAATGTTTTGTACTCAAAATCTTACAGCTGAATAATAAATGCTGGATATATTTCATTATAAAATAAAAATTTGTAAATACAGCAGGGCAGCTGTACCTGAGCTTTAAGACGATGCTTCTACTCTCCTTTGGAGCCTCCGTGTCTATCTGAGGCTGATATTCATCACCATGTGTGCATAGTGTGCCTTGATACTGAAAAGGTTGGGAACCATTGCCATAACACCTTAAAGTTAAAATTCTCACCATCATCTTTAAAATAATTTAATGTCCTCATGCCTCTCTAGTCTTGCAATCTTCACCATTTTTAAAACCCTTAAAACTTGGAATTACTTCTGCTATGGCTTGTTGCTTACCACAGTTCCTTTCCTGTATCATTAGTGGCTATGCCTTCAGCTTTCTACGTCATAATCTCTGGAATTCCCTCCCTAAACTGTCTGCCTTTCCATCACCTCATCTCCTTTTTATAGTCCTCCATAAAGCTAATCTTTGATCAAGTTTAATTTTAATCACACCTCCTAATACTGTATCTGCCTTGGTTTGGCATTGCTGTTTGCCTGGATTATACTTCTAATGGAGTGTTGTGGAAGTTTTTTCTAACTTGGAAAGCATACAAAGAAGCAAGCACCCCCCCCCCCCCAAAACAAATTTACTGTACTGTAATTACACACAGTGGTCATTGGATACTGCCTCACAATTTTCCACTTTGGCTTTGATTTTTAATTTAATGTTTTCACTACTATATCAGGCTGCAGCAGCCTATAAGCCATTTGTTACCGCTTTCCCCTATATTTTCAGCCACTTAAGCTGAACCACTCAAATGTACTGACCAGCATAAAGTTGTTGCTACTTCATTCTTCTCATAAAATACAACTGCAAATTCAAATGGTGCAGTTTTAATTATTGTAATCATGTATTTTTCTTTAGTAATACAATGGCATAAGCTCACAAATTTAATATAGGATTATTTTTCGGTGTAATTGTTATCAATTCTGGTGTAATACCACAGCTTTGCTAACTAATATTTTACCATGACTGAATAATAGTATATCTTTAGTGTGAATAGCATATATTTGCAGAATACTCTAGAAGAATAACTAATGTTAAAGCATATTTTTATTGATCAGTGAACCATTAATGAATACAATGCTACTGGCTAGTGTATTATGCAACATTCACTAACAACAACAGAAGTTTCTGGAAAAGCTCAGCAGGTCTGGCAGCATCTGTGGAGGAAAAAAAATCAGAGTTAACGTTTGGGTCCAGTGACCCTTCCTCAGAACGAGACCAGACCCGAAACGTTGACTCTGATTTTATTTTTTTCTCCACAGATGCTGCCAGACCTGCTGAGCTTTTCCAGCAACTTTTGTTGTTGTTCCTTATTTACAGCATCCACAGTTCTTTCGGATTTTACAACATTCATTAATACTGTTTTGCTGATTATTCATGTAATTTGACAGATTATTGTAATAGCTTCGTTTGTATTAATCGTGCAGTTATACTGACTAGTATAAATTTATTACACTATGGGTCAGAACTGAAGTAGACTGTGTCCTTTTAATGAGTTTGATTTTCATTTTCCAATGTTCAGAATTAGCTGTGTGAGACTAATGACAGCTGGCCATGATTACTCAGCGTTCAGGTTGCATCTTAAACCACTGATCAGAAGGACCTAATCCTGACCTCAAACTTATGGAAGTACGTTTTTTGCTAGGCTGAATTTAACATGGGACTTTATGTTGTTTATTTCAGGGCGGGTTGGCCTGTGGAAGGACATCTTTACTGTATCAATGAATGAGAAATTTGATGCTGTTTTCAAACAGAAGATGGGAAAATCTGACCTCAGCTTTGACTTCAGCCTTTAAGAGATCAACATGCATGCTTGCCAGTATTCTCAACTCTAGCTAGAAGTGCTTCTTCTCATTTGTCCATCAATTACTGGTTAATCTTTGCTGTTATGTGTATTATGGCAGCTCTTTAGTGATGGGTATTGGGTATTCTGTATCTATAATAGCAGTTTCCTCAACTTTGCCAACTATAACTAGTAGGCTGCCTCTTAGTGGAATTGCAAGGTATATAATCTAAGAAAGCCACTTAAATGTAAACTGTGGTAGCTTTAAGGGTGAGGACAATTATTGTGAACTACAAAATGAAAATGAGAACTATTTGAAAATATGCATACATGAATACACGCATGCAAAAGAAACCAAAATTATAAATAAGGGAAATTAGTGCTGCAAAATATGTTGTTTTGTTTTTCTCTAAATTCCTGGCTGATTGGGTATTCTGGATAGGAACAAGCCCCAAAGTTCTGTCTAGATAAAAACGAAACCGTTTTGACATTTTTTCAGAAATTGCTGGATCTGATACATTTGGATTGCAGAAGTGATGGTATAGTGAATTGAGGCAAATATTTTGTCAGCCTTAACAAAGGAAAAACATGAAGATTAAGGCTGTGCTCTAAATTATTACTAAAGAACCACTGTGGGGAAAATGCTCAATGAGCTAAGCAATCCTCTGTTGACACTTGCTAACCTTGGGTTTAACAAAGCCCAAGTTCTGGTTGGTCTGTTCAGTGAGGTACCAAAATGTAATCCATCGAATGTTGATGTGACTGTTGAGTGCAGCTAGACAAACAAGTTGCTGAATTAAGATCCAATTGCATTCCACAAACCCTCAGCAACTGCCCAAGAAATGAAAAATCAAGGAATTTAGACCCATTGTCCACTCCCTGCACCATGGACGGTTTGGCTGTTTGGTATTCATTCTTTTGAAAATTGCAGTAACGTTTTTTGCACCAGAACAAAATACAGTTAGATTATTTTCTATTGTTTGAGAATATTTCAAGAAATCATTTTCCATTCGTTACATAGTGTATTTCATGAAATAGGCAGTTGGCACATCATTTTTTCAGATATTACACGTTGCCTGCCTATTGAAAGCATTCTCTTGAAGAAGGAAGACATTGTTGACAAAATTCATCTTTGCCTCCAATATGTCCAATTCAACCTTCAGCCAGTGGAGGAAAAGAGTATACGAGGACCAGGATCTCAAACCAAAGACTGAAGTCATTCGTTTGGACAACATGCAGCAAGCACCTCAGACCACTGGAGAAGTACCAGCAAAATCCTTGTCTTCTCAAGATTCTCTAAATCCAGTGGTAGGAAAAGCATACTAACAGCAGCAACTTCTTACTAAGCCAACTGCCCAACATTAAGACTCTGTTCACCCAAAACTAGTTCCCCTATCATTTGTGTGCCTGACACCAGACTCCTGAAACAATTGCTCTTGCTTCACTCAGTTGCAGCAGGAGACTCCCAAGAAGACAGTGGAGATCCTTTAGGGATGTCCTTGAAGCATATTTAAAATAGATCAAAACAAAACTTATGAGAACAGGTGGCTTGTGACCAAATAGAATGGAGAGAGCTCATTCAGAAATCAATGAACACAAACTTCATTGGAACATGTATAATCAAAAGGCAAGGTGTTGGAGGCAGTTCACAAACCTCCAAAACTCCTACCAATCCAACCCCTCGAGCACCACCTTCCCCACGTGCGGAAGAGCCTGCAGATGGTGCATTAGACTTATCAGCCATCACAGAACTCATTGAACTGGAGTGGAAGGAAATCAATCTCATGGAACTACCTAAAAAGATTTAACACAAAAAAAGCTAAATTAAATTTTACAAAAACAACCATTGAAAATGTGACACTTTAGAAATCTGTTTTTGCGATTTAGTGATAAAAATACTTTCTTATTGAGATATTAAAATTAACTTTGTTAATGTGATCAAGTATATATCAATGATTCCCAAACTTTTTCCCACTGTCGCCCTTATTGTGAAACTTGAAAATTGTCACGACCACTCTATGAAGCCGATGGGGGTGAGGAGATGTTATTAGAGGGAACACGGTTATCACAACTTGGTCAGAGCTTCATGGTGGCCAATGCTGCATCAGAGTTTGCAACCACAAAATTTCAGCTTGCCACCCCACATGGGTTCCTGACTCCCACTTTGGGAAGCCAAGTAATATATATTATCCAGGCATTCCAGTTAAAGCAAAGCAAATCTTTAAATTTGAGTTGTGCCTTCTTTCCTAATAATTTATATAACTATCAAACCTACTGTTTTAATCCCCATTTTAATTCATTGACTCTACAAACCTACCTGATAGTCTCTTCCATGCCCAAGATTAAGGGACATGAATATGTTGAATTGGCTCAAATGTTGACTGCCTTTTTACAGCTAGTTGACAATGACTTTACTCATTATTGACTTCATATTGAAAATATTCTGTAATATCCTGTGATGTGCTTTTAGCAGTGGAGCTGCATTCGTGGTGTGGTAGACAGTTTTAATGAAATGAGAAATCCTACTCCAGATATCCTGAGGCTGAGTGCTTATTGCCACAAATGGTTAATTATTGAATAACATATAACAAAACCCATTCACTGGTTTCCCAAAAGAAACAATTTTCCAGAAATAATAACCTTTTTAAAACTTGAAATCAGTGACATGGTCCTTCCGAAATATACAAGGGGTTGCAGGACTTGGGTAGGATTGGTCCTACTTGGAAGCCAGGGGCACAAGTCGCCAGGAGCTCTTAGGAAATATTTTTGGAGGCACAGAATGACTTTGACTTTTTTTTTAAGCAAGTAATTGCCAATTATTTGGATACATTTTCAGGAACAGTGTAATTTTGCATAAATGTTATAATACTGATTTACCCTGCCTCCATCCTTACATGTTCACATGCTGTCACTCTTGTGAGCTTGAGTGTATTCTCTTCTTGGTTTTTCTTTTGTTGCTGAAAGAAGTTTATGTGAAAGTTTCAACTTAAATGCAGGGCTGTCACTGTGTTGGATCTTCTTTACATTTATGATACAGCCGAGTGATTCTTCAGGATCCAGGTTAAGCCTGAAGAGGGCTTTGTTTTACTAATCAAGCTGCTCTGTATCACCATTGGCATTGTTTAAACTGGTTTCAATTCTAGTAAATGGGGTAAAATGATGTTTGCTATCTGTGTTAGTCCTGATAAGAGGTGTTTAAATCTTGCATTATTATCATTGATACTGAGGATGTAACCTTAGGAGGCTGTAAAATTTCTGCAATATTCTAGTTACTGCTTTTCCCAGATTGAACCATCAGTGGAAACACCTGTGTGAATCACCTGTGCTTGTTTTGAGTCTCAAGTTTTTTTTTGTCACAAACCTCTTTTTTTTTTTTAAACCCGTATATATCCTTGCAAAATTCTTCAATATCATACGTTATGGTTTTAACATCTACTTGTGAACGAAGAACATGCTCTTTTTTTTTTCCCCTCTATTACTCTGATCAAAGTTTACTGATGTGTCCGGTCCAATACTGAAAACAGTTATTCCAGCAAACGCAATCCATGTAAAGCATTCCAGGAAAAGTCATCAGTTCTTCGTTTTCCAATGACATGCATGAACAAAATTTGAGTTGACACTCCAGATGTGAAAAATTGCATTGTTGATGGGTTAACCTTCAGCAGTCTTTTATCATTGAACCAATCAATTTGTAAGTGCACATGGTTTCATTTTCTTCAACTAATTGTCATCTCAAATATTTTGAGTGTCCTTTTAACCTGCACTGTCATTTGGTTTTCTCTGCATATTCTACTGTTACTTGAGAATTAGTCTCTTAATTTTAAGAGTAGATTCACTTGTTCAGTAAAGGCAAAAGGAACATTTGACATTAATCTGTGCTGATTTCCAGTTATTTCCTTTATAATAGGAAAAATTCTAAAACGGGTTTGTGCCATGTGGATTCAGAAAAGAGGATACATCAAAAAAATGTTTTAACTCTTTCTTGAAAACTTGAAAGCATTCATAATATGACAGCAAGTTACCTTGTCAGCAGGGGCTGGTTTGACAAAGGAAACAACAATTTTGCTTAGAGTGTAGCTGTTTAACCAATTTTGTGTTCCTGTGCTGGATCTGATTCTATGTATCAATGGCTGATGTACAATATCTACTTTACATTAGCATTACAATGAGCTTCCCGAATATTTCGAGGCACAGTAGAGATGAAAGACCACACTTTAGTCCATTCTTTTTATTAAACTTGATTTTGTACTTGAAGACTGTGAGGAACGATTTAAATCCGAGTTTTTCATGAGGTTCTAATGCCCCAGTAGATGTAAGAAAACTCCAGAAAGAGGTGTTCTAATTGATGACTCCCTGCTGTATGTTTAACTACAGTGCAAGTGAAAATCTATTTAGTTAGAATGTGGCCTACTATCATTTCTGAGTGCATTTGCTTATTTCTGTTCTGTTCCTTGTTTGCTGATCAACATTGCTGAAGAACTTTTCCTCGGTATTCAATTTCTTCCTATTTCTCAGCCATTTTTACTGTTTCTGGGCAGTTCGAAACATCATATATTTATGAAGGTTTTCAGGTGGAACAAGGAATTTGGTTTATAACTGAAAGAAAAAAACATTTATTAGGTAGCCTTCTGATCCTTTGCCCCTTTAAAAGAAATTTGCAGTAAATGAATCACTTTGGACCTTCATTATAATGCAGGTAACATGGTTCTGGAGCTGGAGTGCATGTTAACCTAGTTTTACTTTGGTATTTTTTTCCAATTTATTTTAGGGATGGACTACATTCAGATCTTTAAAACAAAACATTTAAACTTGCCCACTTATCTTCCACATTTAATCCTTTAAGTACTTCCTTGTATTTAACATATTTCTGCAATTTCCTCTCCCCAAACTAAGCTCATCTGAAATTTATAATTTTTTTTAGGTTCCACTCTGATTTTGAATCTGAATGTAGGATTTTTATCATAGATGTTGCTTAGTATTCTGCTTAACATCACTTGAAATCAAATTAACTGCCTTGTCTTGTAGGTTTGTTAATGTGTTGCTTTACAAGCCCACAGAAGTTAAGTAAATTTTCACCGACAACATGTTGACAATTTCCATTGGGCATCACTAGGCTTCTGATCGGCCATGAAATCTAGCCTGATGTACACCCCTTTTTGCATGGGAATCCTTAAGGCCTTAATCTGCCTTACCCACCACTAACCACCTTAGTCATCCATCTGCCAACCCCTTGCTCACCCATGCATTGCCCTCAGTTTGCTCACCAGTTGCGCCACCTCTCCCTTTCATTACCACTTCATAATTCCATCATTTCATTGCTTTGTGATAATGAAAGAATGCCTAGATTTTGAACAGGAATTTATGCTTGATTGAAAACATTGTAACAAAATGCCTTTTTTCCATGTAGAATAGGGCTTCAGTCATTTTGACTGGTTACTGTTTTGAAAATAGGGCACATAACATAGTAGAGTCAGATTTTAAATTTACTCAAAATCCATTCACTGACAGAATTAAAATTGGCCCAGTGATTATAAACTTTTATTTAACTCTGTTTTGTTTGTCAAAACATTCTCCCTTTGGACGCTATCTCCACCTATTATTTACTCCTTCTCCCTCCCCCACCCTATCTTCTGTATAAGACCAACTTTTTCCTAGCTACCATCATTTCTGAAGAAATGTTAACTCTGATTCCTCTCTACGGATGCTGCTAGACCTGCTGAGCTTTTCCACCAAATTCTGTTTTTGATAATTATGCATTTACCTGTTTTTGCCTTGTTCCCTACTGCAATGATCATTCAACTGGAATTGAACAATAAATAGAAGAAATCTAAAAATACAAACCATTATAACAGTTCCTAATATTTTCCAAGGTTTGATTCCAAAAATCTCAAGAGAAAATGATCCTTGAATACTGTTGTATCTACACGTAGTGAATCTCTGGTTTTAATTTGTTTATGCAAAGTAATTGCCAGCGATCCTCTGAAAATGCTTCAGCTACAGTTAATTGTAAAGTGCTGTGCCCAGTAACTTTGACATTTGTGTTTGATGTCTGAAGCTTGACAAGAAAATGACATTTCTGCCACTTTAAAACACTGTTTTCACTTGTGGCGCATGTTATTACGTGTTACAAAGTGGTAGAGCATTATAAGAACTGTGCCTATAAGAAGTAATGCTGCAGGAACAAGACTATGCTAAATCAGGTGGGCAGTGGGAGAAAGGAAACTGATCAAGTGTTTCTTTTCATAATACGCTGAACGGTTTTCATTTTGTTATGATTTCACTGCTTTACGAATGCTTGAAAACACTAATTAAGAGAGTGTTATTTAATCAGCACATCCTTAAAGGCTAAAAGTTGTAATATTTCTGAAGTCCTGCACTGTGTTTCGAAGCTTTGTATGGGTTTTTCCGCATTTCTAATTTTACAAAGAGATACCATAAGCATGTGAAGAAGTGAGGAAACTGTAAACCCAATAAGCAAGGGACTTAAAAATGTACTTAACCTCAAGATAGATGTATAAATGTACTCTACATCATCTTGAATCACTTCTGTCCTTACCATTCACAACAGATCAAATATGTGGATAAATGCTGAAAGAAGTTATCAGGTTCGCTGAGCATTACTCCTGAATGTTGTGTATGTTACTATTTACCTTCTTCGGAGATGTATGGAAATTACTCTGCAGGTTTCATTCACGAGTGTAGTAACTATTGTAGAAGTATACAGTTTATCATGTGTGATATTTTATTTTCTAGTGGGGAGTTAAAGGTTGTAGCCTCTGGAAACTATTGGTCTTGGAAAAATTACTGGATACATTTTCCAGAATTTTGATGATAAACCTATATATATGTAAATATTTTCTGATGCTTATTCTACTACATACGAGAAGCTGGATAACAAAACTATATTGATGAATCATGTATATTGTGGAATTGAATAATTAGCAAAACAATATACTTGTTTCTTAACTCTTGTTTCAAGTTGTTTCATTTCTATTTAGAAATTATTATGGAGAATGCAAGCTTAGTCATGATAGGTAACCAACGAATATCAATCTTAGTACAAGCAAAAAATCTATTTATTTTAAATGGGTCAAAATAGAAGGAAAATGTCTGCTAATATCTTTGAGCAGCAATTCCTCAGCCTTAATCCCAAAATAAATCATTGATGAGGGAAAAAGCTCTTTGCGGCAGTTACTATAATAGCCTCTGGGAAACTGCATGGCAAGATGGCTGCATTTCCTTATTTGGCAATTCCTACTTTAAAAGCAAAATATTACATAACTTCCTAGAAATCCACAGAGAAGGAGTGATTCATTCAGGCTGTCAATTGGATCATGCTGTTCTTGAGACAGGTAGTAGTGTGTTTTTAACGTAATTTTCAATATTATGTAAAATTGGATTTTGATCAAAATTAGTTTTTTTTTGTTAAAGGATATGGAACCTTGGTGCTATGATGGTAAATCAACCATTATCTAGTTAACTGGCTTTAAGAGGTTGAGTGGCTTAACTCCTGTTCCTCTGAAAATAGATTGTTTAATGAATTCATCAATGCTATAAAGTAAACATAAAGTGGGTAGAAGTGGTAGAGTAAAGAATGTGCCCCAATTATTGATTTTGAGGTCAGATTTGAAGAATAGATTGGGATAAATCAATTTATCCATTTTTGTCTTTAATTAGTTTAGGAACTACAAAATATTTTTCGTTTATTGGAAAGTTGATTGTTTTATTTAACCTGCATTAATAATATTTAAAATATGGACCATTTTATATCAACAATTTATATAATTGTGTATACATGAGAATTAAACTTTAAAAGATAATGGTAATATGAACTAACCTGAATATATGTTATACATCATGTATAATGAGAGATTATGCATGAATGAGGATTAAATACTAAGTGTGCATATATCAGAATTAGGACATTGTTTACAATCATCATTTATACTCGAGTATCTGAAAATAATGAGTGAGTCTACTCCCTCGTTTGAAATTAATCTCTTGACTGTTCGTTAGCTTTCTATTTCAATTTACTAGTTCACTCCTCCACTTAACAATCTGCAATAGTTGCTGCATGGTTTAAAAAAGTGTGTATTGCTTCTTAATTGTGCTCTATTCAGATGCATGAAGAGAACACCTAGCTGCAATCGAAGTCTCCCGCTTAGCCTCTGATTTCTTACCAGATAGCATACAAAAGCAGAACGCTAAAGAGTTTCCATCTGATGTTCCTGCAATAACCCACTGAATGATGAATGTACATATTTACATGACTTTGGCTCTAAACTTTTTATACATGTTAAAGAAAATATGTTAACTTTATAATTTTGGTGAAGATGGCATGAAGAGTTTGTTGGACATTACATTACATTAATAAGCACTTTTTTCCCTAAAATTAGTAGGAAATTCACTACTCCGGTCTTATTTCACCATTTGTTTCCCATCCACTTCATAAATTGCCTAAAATTATGATTTACATACCATACCTTTTATTAGATTTAAGAGTTTAAAGACGTATAATACTATATGTTGGACTTAGATTTCAAACTGATGAATGTGAAGGTTTTGTCTTAAAAAGATCAAAAAGTGAATTTGGAGCAGTGACCTAGATACATCAATTCCCAGAAGGCCAGTGCATGTAGGAGAGTACTTTGGAGAACCTTTTGTATTAACGGATAAGATGTTTATACTGTCAAGTTTATGACAGGAAGAACAAACACATTAAAGGTAGTTAATTTTGTTTCGACATCACAGCAGTATGTTTAAAACTTTTAGCTCAGAAGAACATGGAATTCAGTTCAGAAGATGAAATAGTTTCTTCTGGGGGAGAATCAAGTCTGTTCGAATAAATGAGAAAGCAAAAGTCTGTACAGTATATGACATGACAAACACATTCTGCATGGTTAATTGTATCGATTAATTATTTTAAAAATTAGCCAATTGGTATCATAACAATGCCAATAATCAGAGCAAGATGGTGCATTTATTTAAATTTTTCATATTTCTGTATGACACCGAAATTGTAGGCATTACCCTAAAAAAATGTTGATTTACCCTAAGCTTGGTTTAATTGGTTTTTATCATTTTGTTATAGTAAACACGAAAGCACTTTGTTACACTTTAAAGTATTTGATGGTAGAATGTTTTTACTTATACTGGAAGATAATATAACAAAGAGAGCAATGCTGAATATTGTTGTGGTCCCTTTAGTGTCTCCCTACAAGGTGCTGAACAACAACTGGTGGTGGTGGGGGGTGGGGGAGGAGGTGGGAGAACAGATCCAATATCTGACAGCCTGTCACTAATTCCAAATTGGACCACTCTCTATTTATGAGCTCGGTGAGACCATAAAAAATAGGAACAGAAGTAGGCCATTCAGCTCCACAATCCTGCTCCACCATTCAATAAGATCATGGCTGATCTGACACTCCACATGTCCACTTTCCTGCCCTTTCCCCAAAATCCTTGATTTCCCTACTGATCAAGAATCAAATATTTATCTCAGACTTAAACATACACAAGGACTCTGACCCCCACGCCCCTCTGTAGCAAGGAGTTCCAAAGACATTCAACCCTCCAGCAGAAATTCATCCTCATCTCAATCTTAATTTGGTGCTACTTAATTCTGAGACTGTGCCTTCTGGTCCTATATTCTCCCGTGAGGGAAAACATCCACTCAACATTTATCCTTTCATGCCCCTTTTAAGAATCTTAAATGTTTCAATGAGATCCCCTCTCATTCCTCGAAATTGAAATGAGTCCCAACCTCTTTAACTTTTGCTCGTAAGACAATCTTTCATTATCAGGGATCATCCTAGTGAACCTTCTCGGATCTGCCTCCAGTGAACTAATATCTTTTTGATGAGGAGATCAAAACTGCTCATACCCAGATGTGGTCTCACTAACACCTTGTAATACGACTTTTATACTTCAATCCCCTTGAAATAAGGGCCAACATTCCATTAGCCTTCCTCGTTACCTACTGCACCTGTATGCTAGCTTCCTGTATTTTGTATACAAGTACCCTTAAGTTCTAACTTACTGCAGTTTTTCTCGAATTAAATAATTAGAGTTGTTCTTCCTTTTAAAAGTGAACTTCACATTGATCCACATTATACACCATTTGCCAACTTTTTGCTCATTTAATTAAGCTAACAATATCTCTGTTGGTATCCCTTTTACAAACTTCCTTTTCACCCATTGCCTACATTACATTCACTTCTTTCTTCTAAGTCATTAATATAAATAGATAGCAAACAGTTGCCATCCCAGCACTGATCCCTGTGGAACCCTACTGGTCATGGCTCTAACCATTCTCACAGCTCCCCCAAGTGCACATCAATGGTAGTACAACTACTTTAATCAGAAAGTGGCAATTTCCAAGGGAATGTCATTTTCAAACAAACATTGCATGTCCCAACAAAGTTCTTTTGGTTTTTTTTTGGTAATTTCTCCTTGCTCCATGTTTTTTTTTATGTAGAGAGACATAGGACCAGCAGTAGGTTATATAGCCCCATTGAGCCTGTCTTGCTACTTAATTAAAGCATGACTGATCTGTGCTAATTCCTTAATTGCTTAAAGTACTTAGGCTGGATTATCCTTTAAACCTCGAAACTCGAGGGATCTTGTGTGACCTGTCCTCATCATGTAAGCTTCTTAATCTTTTTTGTGTTGTAGACTTCTACGACTGTATAATTATGAAACAATCCTGAAGGGAAGAATCTGAACAATTTGCCTTAACAATGAAACTGTTTCACCAAAGTCCATTATTTAGACAGAGACTTCAACTCAAATTTCAATGACAACATTTAACTGAGCAACAAGAAAGCAGGCAACACAGAAATTAGAAAGCAGAGTTCGTTTTAAACGATCGTTACTCGGGCACGCTGCGACTCACAGCTTTGTAAATGAGAACGACTGTATTAATCCCTCAGGTGGACTTTCAACTCAAACCAGTCTGCACTTTATTCCATTTAAAATTAGTTGCGGTAGATTTGTTGTAATTTTCCGAAACAAAGTCAGCATGGACTGCCTCCGAAGTAATACGTTGCAGGTGCTGGAAATGCCAGAATACACTCCGAGAGCCCCAGCCCCGCGGACCTGGCAGAGAAAGATGCCTTTGGGGATGTTGACAATTCAGAAAAAAGGGAAGGAGACAGGGCCAGAGCACAAAGAGTCCAAACACTTTTGGTTCCAACCAAAAGTGAATTCACTCCGGGCAGCTGAGGGGGAGAAGAGGGAGCTGGAGATCACCAGGATAACAAGGCGTAGAGCTGGATGAACACAGCAGGCCAAGCAGCATCAGAGGAGCAGG